TTGTTAAATGTGAGCCAAAATCATCACAATTAAAAGAACCAAAGACTTAAACTACTTCAGTCTGTGTGCATTGAATTTATTTAATACACGAGTTTCACAATTTGAGTTGAATGACTGAAATAAATGAACTTTTCCACGACATTCTAATTTATTGAGATGCACCTGTATATAATTTGTGTTTTAAACACTCTTTGTGGTTGGAGCATGTCTGTGATGCCTTGAATCTTGAACTGATGTCTTTGTAGGCAGCTTACTAGGTTTAGAACAGAGACTACTGTACATGTTTGTGTTTTGTATCATTTCCTTTGTATTAAATTACAACCATCCCTGCATTCCACATCTAATGAGGTCAAGTCACCTTTATTTATATAACGCTTTATACAATACAGATTGTGTCAAAGCAGCTTTACAGTATTAGACAGGAAAAACATGTGCTGATAATGCAAGAGGACAATAGAAAACAGTCAGTTTATCAGTTAAAGTCAGTTCATTGTTGATTCAGTGATGTCATCATCCAGCTCAGTTCAGTTCTCTTCCAATAGTGTCTGTGCAGTCAAGTCAACGATGTTGGCAGAAATTGTGTCCCCAACTAAGCAAGCCATGAAATGATGGTATCAGACTGTAAAACTGTAGTACTTTGATATATGCATGGTACTAAGGAATTATCATACACACACACAAACAAAATTGGTTCTTCAGCGGTTCTGTGGGGTGGTTCAGGTGCTATATAGCACTGATACAATATAAAGAACTTGTTAAGCCCAGTATGGTTCTTCAGTGGTTCTTCAGCGGTTCTTTGGGGTGGTTAAGGAGCTATAGCACCACTGCCATACAAAGAACCCGTTAAGCCCCTGTATAGTTCTTTTAAGGTTTTCTAACTCTCTCTTAATCTCTTAGTTTAGTTGGGGGAAAGGATTAAAAACGGCATTAATACAGTGTATTTCCTGAAGATAACATGCTTCTCAACCCCCAAGGCCGCCTATAAGGAAATATTCCAGGGCCTCCACACAAGACTTTTTGACCTCAGAAAAGCATAAAAGTGATTTCAAAACAGCTTTTGCCATTTTATTAAATTCCCATTCATAGCAAACATATGAGAGTGGAGTAACATATCTAAAATCTAAGGAGGAGAATTGGGTTCCTCTTATGGTTCTACATAGTACCGTTTGACAAAGGTGCTGTATAGCAACTTTAAAGATAGTTAAAGTAGTTCCCCTATTATTACAAGCCAAAGAACTACTTTTAGTGCTATTTAGTACCATTTTTGTTTAGAGTGTATTCATATGACATGTACACGCTCCAAAAATACCATTTAATTATCTTGTTACATGTCCAGAAAAAGCATGTCATTACCATTACATCATATTCCAAAAAAAATAGTATTAAACTTTTCTGGTAATCTGTGTAGAAAGCAGTAGAATTATAACAAATCAAGTTTGTTTTTGACACTTGTAAAATGTTTTCAGATAAACGTGGTGCAGGCAGTATACAGCAATGGCAACTTTTAGACCGCACCCTTCAGCAAATTGTTCTACAAGATGAAAAGGGAGAAAATCCAGATGTTTCACCCCTGGACAATTTCAACGTTAAGAACATCATTAGAATGTAAGTGTCCAACTCATAACACTTTTAGTTCAAAACACATTTATTTAATGGCCTAATGGATAGAGAGTCAGACTTGTAACCCGAAGGTCGCGGGTTCGAGTCTCAGATCCAGCAGGAATTGTCGGTGGGAGGAGTGAATAACCAGCGCTCTCTCCACCTTCAATACCACGACTCAGGTGAGACCCTTGAGCAAGGCACCGAACCCCCAACTGCTCCCCGGGCGCTGCAACATTGGCTGCCCATTACTCGGGGTGTGTGTTCAGGGTGTGTGTGTGTTCACTACTGTGTCTGTGCACTTGGATGGGTTAAATGCAGAGCACAAATTCCGAGTATGGGTTACCATACTTGGCCACACGTCACTTCACTTTTACTTTCATTGTGCACATGATTTTAACCATCAAATGTTCAAATTATAATACTCCTCATGAAAAGTTAACTTTGGGTTTATTAGTGTTGAGTAATATTTTTGAAACCAGAAAGCCTTGATGAGGTCTTGGATTCTCTTTAGTTCTTCTATAGATCAAAGCTCTCCCTATATCACTGCCCGCTGTAGGGATTCTAAAATGTTTTGTGCTCAATGAACTGCAAATCTGTATTGTGGCACACTTCTGGGATCTGGTACTGTTAACATGGAAGTCAGTGGAAGTCAGTTGGCTAAAATGGAAACTGGTATCAAACAACTTTAAACATTTTGAAATTTTAAAGGAAGATGCAGGACTCTAAAGTCTTAACACTGGTATTGCTGTCATTAATGGGCATAAGAATGTTGAATTTCAGGCCATGTGCTTACCACAGGTGTCCAACAGTTCTCTGGGCAGGAAATTTTATTTTTTATTTTTTCCTGGGATCATTTATCACCTCAGATGTGCTCTCACTATCATTCACCCAACTTTCCACACCTCTATTCTGTCATTTTACTGTTGCAGTACCAGCAGTCTTTGCTCCTTTCTTGGCATTTCTTGGTATCTCTGGGTCCTCAAATTTGCTTAGCATCTACACACATTCCAGATAAACGTTTATGCACATTCATGTGCACTATTTCCACCAGTGTGCCAGAAGAGGTTAACAGTGGCTTTGGCAAGTGTAAGCACAAGGAAACCTACTACTAGCAAACATAATTTTTGTCTGCTCACGCTTACCCATAATGTGTAACTCTTTCCAGTTGCAAGAATTACCTTAGTGCAGTGGTTTTCAAACCTGGTCCTGGGGACCCACCACTCTGCACATTTTGTGTGTCTCCCTTATTTAACACAGCTGATTTAGATCATCAGCTCATTAGGATAGAGCTCCATGAAGTGAACTGAGTGTGTCAGTAAGAGAGACATACAAAATGTGCAGAGCAGTGGATTTAAAACCACTGCGTTAGTGAAACAGAGATGTAATGTATTGGTTGCATTTAAGATATCTTTGGCAATTATGTTTCTTTAACCAGTTAAGGAGCAAGTTGTCCAAATGAACAGCTAAAATAATAATTTTCATTTCCAGTGTTGGCTTGTAGCTGGCAATTTATGGTATTACCCGAACAATGTCAGTCTGACTACAAAAGAATCAAACCTGGTTTTTGAAGTAAAAAATCTTCTTCAATAAGTATAATGCAATAAATCCTCTACAGTATGTGAAACTGCATCTTTATCCTCTTTTCCTATTTTCTTATTAGTCATATATACTGTATCTTTAATTGTCTTCTCCAGTGCTGGCAGTAAATGTTACTGTATCTGTATTTCATTTTCCTCTTTCTGCAGCTATGGAAAGCAACGCATGTCAAGGTGTCACTTTAGATTTCTTTACAAGATCCTCCCTTAAACCTCAAACAATATCCACTTACAAAAAGATTCACAACCAGACTAAACTAACCTTTTATTTAAAAAAAAAAAATGTTATAAATGTGTTATTAAAAAAAATCTTCCCCAACTGTATGTCATTGCTTCGGTTTAACAGTGGCCCCTTTGGTTTAAAGACCCCATGAATTGGCTTGATGACAAATTTTCTTTTGTTTGTTGCCATCAGTTTTACAGCCAGACTACAAATCACATAGCAAACCCATACTTAACATCTTGTACCGTGGATGCAACCAATCAAGGCAACTTCAAAATTAATCAAATTAACCAAATTTCTACTTTCTTTTTAATCGGTTCATGTTTTGGAAAATAAACTGATGAACCATAATTTGGCACTTCTTATTACTAGTTGAAAGAAGGTAGTATTTATAATTAAGAGGGACATTCTCATTCTGAAGAGTATTTTATTGGATAAAAATGATATACACATCTGTGGACAAGAAGATTCATCAATCTGTTTGGTCTGTTTGGTCTCATTAAAAGCTAACTACTAAACAGAAAACTTTCATGTGGTCTTTAATGTTGGCTTTTGTTTTTGGTAACAGTTGACAAATAACAAACAATAAATGACTGAGGTAAGTGTGGAAAATAGGGCAAAATGGATTTTATAACCCTGCATTTGAGTGCAACATAATGAGACTTCATTCCGTCTACAGGCTTGTCAATGAGAATGAAGTGAAACAGTGGCGGGACCAAGCCGAAAAGTTCAGAAAAGGTAACCGTTCACAATGACTTGCATAGCTGAGCCTGGGTGAACTTATTTAATGATAATGCATGTGTGTTTTTTAGAACACGTAGAGCTGATGGCTCGGCTGGAAAGGAAAGAAAGGGAGTGTGACACCAAGACACAAGAGAAGGAGGATATGATGAAGACACTCAACAAGATGAAGGACAAACTACAGAAAGAAGGAGTGGAGTTGCGCTCTGCCAGGGAGCAAGTATTAGACCTGTCCTCCCGAATAGGTGACATTTCAGTGAGTTCACCATCTGTCACTTTCTGGTGTGCTGTACTGTAGTTGTATGATTTACTTTGATATGCATAAGTAGAACAATTGCACAAAATGTTAGAATTTCCATGTTGATGTTTTTATTGCGTTGTTTAGTAAGAGATGCTTAAGGAGAAGCTGTTTTGGTTAAGCATGAGTGATGTGTGATGTTTATACATTGCAGCAAATTTGTCTAACATATTTTACGCGAATTATTTGATCTTTTTCACTTTAAGAGTGGTGGAGTTCATTTACCCATTCCCCCTCCGCTTCCTGGGAGCCCAATGGCTCCACCTCCACCACCTATGATGATGGATAGCTTCCCTCCTCCTCCTCCACCTACTGCTTTCTCTAGCCCACCCCCACCACCTCCTCCACCTCCCCCGGGGGGTCCTCCACCCCCACCTGGGGCCCCGCCCATCTTTTCTGGGGTTCCACCTCCACCTGGACCTGCTTCCATTAGCTCCACAACCAGCCTGTGCACAAAGAGCATCCCCCAACCTTCACAACCACTCAAATCCTTTAACTGGTCCAAACTAGGAGAGGTGAGTCAGTTTTTGTTTTATTTATTTATTTGGTGGTACTTGTGGTATTAAAATACCTCATAGTTAATACAAAGTATTATACTTGATCTGAGATGAAGTCTTTTATTTATGTACGTATTTAGTTATTTATTTTTTCCAGTTTTCTGAGACTAACCCTTTACATTACATTACAGTCATCTTTCCTGATCATCTTCCTATTTTTCAGAACAAGATCACTGGTACCATCTGGTATGAGATTGATGACAGAAGGGCCTTTAAAGTTCTTGACCTAAAGGACATTGAGAAGATGTTTTCAGCTTACCAGAGGCAGCAAGTATGCAAATGTGACACACAAGAGTCTAAATCCCAAACAAATAATTTTTGCATTCAATATCAGTCAGATATTTCTAGAATAACTTCTGCAATGATCTTCTGAAATAACAGCTGTACTGACATTCTTATGCATGTTTGTGAAATGTGTTTGTGTGTGTGTGAAAGAGGAAGAGAGTATTTGTAATCTCAGGCTTTACAGTAGTGACTAAGCAGCTGTTCTTTGCTGGATGGCATGTAATAGATGCTTTAGTGCTTTAAGCATGAAGTAGTATTTTAGTGCATTTAGAGCAGACACGCTGCAGATATGTTCTCAGGCCCAATATCAACAAAAGTCAAACAGTGATTTCATACGCAATAGCCAAAGCTTCTTCAGTGTTTTGCAAGAGATTCTGGGGCCTGTGAGAATGTTTGCTGTAGTCAGCTCTGGCTGAGTCTTCTGCTGCTTCAGTTGTTAACTTCTGCATGTCTTCCGATGTTTTTGTTCTTTCCCTGCTAATGTACCTCTGCCTGGCCAGGAGCTGCTCTCTAACCAATCCTTCAAGCAGGTGAGTGGTTGCTCCAATCAAAGCTACTATACTACCAGAAGAGGGTCAGAAATTAACTTTTCTATTAAGGGGCAATATTTGCCCCCTGGAATATTTTTATTTTCACCTTTGTAGGCGGTTTTTATAATCGCCTAATTAAATGTGTCTGTGTTGTCTTTTATGTAAAATGCTTAAATTTTACCAGTTACTTCAATCAGTCAATACTACAGACTGTTACCAAAACAATTTTATTAACATCAACAAAAAAGTCATCTTTACATGCAATGGTGGAACACAAACTGTATCTGACATGACATTTATGTTTATGTACACAGACATTTTAATTCTTTTCAAAGTTGACATACATGTATTTACACAATTACATAATCTAATTAGCCTACATAAAGTAAAAAAAAAAAAAACTTACAGGGTAGGGCTGCAATATTATGACAAACACATTATTGTCAATTATTGTTCTTGATATTGTAATAATTATCATTAATGTTGATTAATAGAATACATATAAAAATTATGTGTTTATGGAAACTGTCATATTCTGGCTACACGGTCATAACAAGCAAGGAACCATTTATGAATTAGTTTATTGCATTTTACACATTAGAAAATCAAAATAATAATAGCATGACAAACAGAATGGTTATTCAAACTGGGAATAAATTATATACAGAAATTTAAGCAAGCAAAGAAAGTTCACTGAATGATGACTGAAGCGTTTAATGACAGTCTAGTGCACGTTCGTGCAGAAACTCCCGTTAAAATCACTGAAGCTCTCTACACTGCACAATGAATCTGTATTACTTACATAATATCTGTACTTTGTTGTTTATGATGAGAGAATTCAAGAGAGTGGAGAATTCAGCCTCAGATTGGATTCACATTCATTAGCTCAACAGAAATATGTGTGATTAATATTCAACGCTGCAATAAATGCATAAAAAGAAAATTGATGCAACATGAGCAAATCTAAATGTAATGCAGCAATCAACACGTTTCATTCATTTTTTTTCCCATTTTTGCCCCCTTGTCTTGAATTTGGGGGGAATTTTTGTAAAATTTGGATGCATTTTTGCCCCAAGCCCCCGTTAATTTCTGACCCTGTACCAGAACCTTTAGCCAAGCATACAGCTACATTCACCATCTTGTATCTGTCTATTGTGCTATCTTGGCCACTGTGACCAAAGGAAATCTGAATTAATGTGACAGATGATGAAAAAGTTGGAATTAAAATATTAAAGGAATAGTTAATTCTAAAATTGGAAATTCTGTCAGAATTTTTCTCACCCATATGTTGTTCTCTAGGTGACTTCTGTTTTTGACAAAACAAAATGAGATTTTAGAGAGAATGTTATGCAGCTCCTTTCCATACAATTAGAATGAATGGAGTGTGATACTGTCAAGATCCAAAAATGATACAGCACTATAAAAGTGTGTTTGCTTATATTAATTTATGGCATAATAGGATATAGTGATACCTTATTAACCTTGACAGCCTCTGGTCACGGTATAATTTCAATGTATGGAAAGGAAGCAGGTTTGGAGCAACATGGGCTTAATGATAATGGAATTTTCATTTTTGAAGGAACTGTTCCTTTAAGTATTTTAGTGATCTAATTTTCACTTCCAGTCTCATCTTGCAGTAGTAGAATTATCTATCTTCTCAAATGCCTGTGGAGTGAATAATTGGTGTGTGCAATTTTAAGAATCGGTTACTACTGTGATAGAACAGTAATTGGCTGAATTACTGTAATTATCACAAATGTGTCTAATTATTGAACATTAATACACAGATGACTAAAATGTAGATGAGGCATGTTCTGGAAAGTAATGACCTTTAACCTATCCCGCATTCTTCATGTTACTACTCAGAAAGAGCTGCAGGGGTGTGTAAGAAGTGTGCTTTCTTTGGACCAATGTGGAGTTACATGACCCATGTATAACCTCATCGAGCATTCACAGCACAGGAAATGGTCCGGAGCTATAAATAGATGACTGTTCTCGCTGAAACAGCCGAGCTTCTTTCAAGCATCTGTGGTGTTTCAGCTGCATGATTATTTCTGACACACTGTTCTGAATACTGGCCTTTTGAGAGATATATAGAAAGTTAGAAATATATTGTATGCTTTTTTCACTGACTCATTCAGTTTAGAAAAATTGGATTGAATCCCCAAAAAATTGAATCCAAACCATCAAACCGTTTTCTCCTCTTCTGCAGAAAGAAACAGGATCAATGGATGACCTTTATGTGAGCTCGCGCAAAGTCAAAGAGCTGTCTGTTATTGATGGACGGAGGGCCCAAAACTGTGTCATCCTGCTTTCCAAGTATGTACTTGTCCTGAGTCAGCATTGTTAGCATTGTATTAAAGTCAACCTATCAGTAATCCTGATGCTACGCTTATGAAGCACAACATGTAAAAATGTTTTTGAAATTGTCGGCTAATTATGGTGTAATAACTGGTCACAACTTATTATAGTTACATAAAAAATGTAGATTGGTCCAATCTGAATCTGAAAAGTGAGTAACTGGTGTTTCTGCTTTCTTAATAACATGTTAAATATGAATAGTTTATATAATTAAAAAACACTTTCTGTCCATACAGGTTAAAAATGAGCAATGAAGAGATAAAGAGAGCCATTCTAGAGATGGATGAGAGGGAAGAGCTGGCTAAAGACATGTTAGAGCAGGTGAGGGCTATCTAATGGATTGATCATGAAAAATATAACTACAATGTTTTTGATTAGTACTTTTATTACCTACGAGTAAACACTCTCTATGGGTAAATGTTTTGTACATTCACAGCTGTTGAAGTTTGTTCCTGAGAAAAGTGATATTGACCTTCTAGAGGAACACAAACATGAGCTTGAGCGTATGGCCCGGGCTGACCGCTTCCTGTTTGAGATGAGCAGGTACTGCGAAATAATTGAATCTTAGATGAAATGCATTTGATAAATGAGCACAATGAAGTATGATTTCAGGAAAAAAAAAAAAAGTTACTTTGGATGAGTGAAGAATAATACTATGTAAAGTTCTTGATCAAAAGATTTAATACTGAATTGCATAAATTACACAACAGGTAACAAACCAGGATTAGCAGTGATTTATGAGCTACTTTTCTCCAGCATATTTTACCTCCTAAGAAACAGGACACTGCAAAAATCTGTGATATCTAGAAATCCCAAAGTCACATCACATTGTGGGGGATTCATCATTTAGCAGAAAATATATACAACATGCACATCCAAGAAAGACGATTAATGCCAGAAACATACTTTACACAAGTGCATGAATGCAGCCATGTTTGACAAGCATGCATACTTGCATAAATCAACATTTTACAAAGCAACAATGCGCAAAGTCATACTTGCATATCTAATAGCTAATAACAAACAAAAGTATTTGCGCTGACTAAGCACCCACGGCTATGTCTGCATACTTGGTAAAATAGGTTTCTTACAGAAGCAAATGCTGAGTAACTACTTAATATGGTTATAAATAATTAATATGGTTATAAATAATGTTAGGTTGAAGATAGGGTTCAGGGACTGTACATAGTTATTATAGTAAGTGCATACATGTAGAACAGGACTCATGTGCTAACATTTTTTTTCATGACATTGAGGTTCTTAATGTCATAAAAAATGTTAGCATTTTATTTACCCCTCCCCATATATCCTTACTGTAATGTGGAAAAAATAGTTCTCATTTCTGTAATGCAAAAAATAAAATCTATATAATGCAATTTTATGATAATTTGTCATTATATTTCAGCATTTTTAAACTTTATCTTTAAACATAATGAAGTAAAATGACTTTGAGAATAACGAGAATTACAGGGGATAAAAATATAATTAATATGTGTTTTTGTCCATTTTGGAAGGAAATGTGACCTTTCGTAAGATTCAACCCAGTGTCTGAAACTGAATAATTTTGACATCTTTCTCTCTATCAGAATCGACCACTATCAACAGAGGCTCCAGTCTCTTTTCTTCAAAAAGAAGTTTGCAGAGCGCCTAGCAGAAATAAAGCCAAAAGTTGAAGGTTGGTAGGTTTAGAGGGAATGTTTACTGGAGGTGTTTCTTTGCAAATGAACACAGACTCATTGAAGTGATAGAGTCCAGAAACTGTTGTATAAATGTGATGTGGGAGAAGTGGATATTAGAGCATGAGTCAGGGCTGGTATGTTTGTGGCTCTGTGTGGCTTTTATACTTGAATTTATCTCCAGTTCAAATAAAGAACAGAGTTTCCACGGAGGCTGTTTTGGAAAGCTGGCACATGTTGAGAGGGGAGAGTCATTCTCATAAACGTTGCTTTTTTTCTTCAAAGAGTTTCAAGCTTTTCAAGAAAGAGTCATGGCATGCATGTTCTTGCAAAGTACTTCAGATGAGCATAAGCCGGCCCAAATTCTGGTTAAAAACATGTCCCTGCACATTAATGATCTTAGCTAACCTTAAAGGGACAGATCAACCAAAAACAGATATACTGTCATAATTTGATCTCCTTAATGTCATTAAAAAAATTATTTCCTTTCCTCTGTGGAACACAGAAGGAGATGTTTTGAAGGTTGTTTATGCTGCTCTTTTCCATAATGTGATACATAGCCATACATTGCTATTTACTGAAAAAGATCACTAACGCCTTGCATATCCTCAAATTTATCAGTACACACACTGATCTCTAATACTGACTACTCATTTACACAACCTCAAAGTGAAAAACAAGCACAAAGGTAAACAATAAGGATGCTAACATGACACAGTTTGCCTAACTTGACAATGCCATGTCATGTCTACAGTTATAAATCCAAGCACAAGTAACAAGACACTGAAATAATAGCAGTGTCTAATTAAGCAAAACGAATGGGTGCCATCAACACAGACAAAACAAATGAAGGACTTCTCTGGCCCACCCTTGCACATTAAATCGTGTCAACAGGAAGGCATTTTGAATGTTTTAACATCCAGGCAAAGGAAGTCTAACTTTGGCTAAGATCCTCCGGGAAAACGCTTTTTGTGGGAAACTGGCGGCGGGAAAATTGTGGACAGGCATCAAAGTTGCATACTCTTTCTTGTTCCCGCTGGAGCGACTGCAGTACTGTGGCTCTATGATGGGAATAGTGAGAGAAAACTTGAGTTAAGACTAGTTCACCACACTCACAAAACATAGTGAAGTTAAACATCAGTTTAGTACCAGTATTGTTTAGTAATTTGGACTTTCTGGAAAATGTAGGGTTTTACACTGGGCTGGAACTGGGAGAATGAATATATATATATATATATATATATATATATATATAT